AAGCTGGTAACAGAGACGTCTCGGTTGACGTTTCTGTGTAGTATGGGGCTAGCCCAACCGAGGTGATATAATGTATAGGCCTGGTGGGTTCAGGGTCTTTCATCTTACATCTGCCTGCGAGCAGTTTGGAGGTGCAAGATACCTGAGCGTGTAATGTTAATTTTACCTGTGATCCTTTGAATAAATCAGCACTGTTTTGAAGTTACTTGGACTGTCTCGTCTCTCAGAGTTAGCAATGGTAACAAGAACCAAAATAGCTCTACACATGTTATGTGCAACATTACAGCAACATAACACCAGGCGGTGGTTTGTCTGTAACTTGATCTTTACAAGCTTACAAGGAACAAGGAAATAACTACATAGCCTGAATAAGATATTACAGGAAAACCACAAGAGTGTGATCAGATATTCCAGGAAAACCACAAGAGTGTGATTAATCAGATCAATGTTGGTAAAGACACCCTGGCGTGTCTTTTAATCCAAAATATAACAATAAACATATCCACGTCAGCTAACGTTTAGCTGCTAAAGGGCAACCGGCCGAAGACGGAGAATTTAACTCAACTGCTGGTTAAACAAACTAGGGACTAGGAGTTGAACTAATTAAAATGACAGCTGGCAGGATTTCAGCTCATCTAAAACTGAGTACAATTCCTGACGTAAACTAAAGCTAATTAGCTGCTATTTAAAGGGATTTGTAACGTCAAATCTGGCTCATGCTAACTATCATGCTAACTATCTTGCTAACATAACACACTCGTAATTTTCACTCACATATAATCCTGGTCTTCATGGTTTTTTGTCAAAACGACCATCTTATTCAGACAGGACACACGGAAAATACGCACTGTCTGGATTTACGGACCGTGTTTAAAAAATGACTATAGGCGGGGAAGATAAAAAAAAAATGTTATAAATGAAGAGGTTTAGCTGATTGTCTTGTAAGTAGCCAGCTCCTGGCTGCTAGCTTGACAGAGGGCTGAACCAGCAGATTACAAAAGAGAGAGAAAACGAAGAGCTCTCACTCTGTCTTCATATAGTAAGGCCTATCACGTCTAATGACTTTAACACCTTTAAGAACATCTAAGGCAGGGGTGGCCAATTCCAGTCCTCGAGGGCCGCTGTCCTGCTTGTTTTCCAACTATCCCTGCCTGACCTGCTGCTGATTACCTGGCTCAAGTGTGTTCAGCCAGTCAGAAGCTGGAAGATACTATCTAAGATGAAAGACAAAGTGAATTGGTATCTTCCAGCTTCTGATTGGCTGAACACACCTGAGCCAGGTAATCAGCAGCAGGTCTGTCACATATGTATAGGATTGTAACAGTGGTGGAAAGTTGTGGATCAAAACAAACAGGCCTGTTCACAGCCTGCAAAAATGTAAATATTAATTACCTCAAAAAACCTAAAGTAATTATATAAATCCAACACATTGTCTGTTTTTGTGTTGTTTTTTTTTAACTGAGTGATTCATGTTTTCAATAGACAATCTTTGGCACACATCATCAAGCAGAATTTTTTTCATAACATCTGAATAAATCCACTGCTACCTCCACCCTCTTTATAATCTAGTGTTTTAGAGTCATTTCAGCTCAAGCATGATCATTCCTTCTATATAATCTGAAACAATGACTTTGGCTCCACTCTACACTTGAGTTTGTGTATATGTTACCATAACAGCCAGTTTAACAGGTCCGCAACATAGTAATCCAATTCCGCTTAGCTTTTCTCACTGCTTCTAAAGAGGAAAAAAAGCTGTGAATGTTTTGGCAGAAGAGAACATTTTTATTTAAAGAGGATTTTATGAGAGATGTTTAGCCAGTATTATAGAAGATTCACTCAAGTGTTTTTACATGAATGTCGGAATGGAGAAAAAGAAGACAACAAGGACAGTAAAACTTGGAAACCATGCCCCAGACACATGTCCGATGATTGTTGGTAAAGTAAAGAAATCAATTCCGAGAATGAGAACTGTGAAGTCAAAGGAGAAGATTAAAGTTTACACATCTAAAAATAGCTCCATTACAGAAAATGGTACTAACACAAATGAGACATCAGGGAATATAATGAAGCTTTGTGTCAACTTAATGCCTGTTTTGGCTTTAGCCAAGGAACCTCTGGAGGAAGAGGAGGAGAGGGAAGAAGATACCAGCTGTTCGGCTGAAAAGGAACCAGAAAACAGCAATAGAAAGAACCCATCTGTCATCAAAATAGTGGAAAAAACACCCAATACAAGTGAGTCTTTCACAGGGTTAACTTTAGAGAAAGCAGCTGAAACCAAACACTTAAGTCCTGTCTTCGTGCTGCCACCTTTAACTCAAGCTAAACCAGCTCCCGAGCTTTGTGACCATCACAGGATCAACAGGTGCCTCACCCTTCTACCTCCCATCAGTTTATCTGAACAAAGCACAACCTTCCCTCCAAACGTCACAACTAAAAGCTGCAGAGAAGATGGACCAGTTACCGGACCAGTTACCAGACCAGTGACAGACAGCAGGCCCTGGATGGACAACCTTCTGTTCTCTAAAAGTGTGAGCAAAAGGCAAAAAATTGTTAATATATATAATGCCCTGCACCATGTTTTTAAACTTTACTGCTGGCAGGCTGAGTCTGCCGAAATTTTTTGCTCAGGTACAGGTGGTTCATTTTCATCTGAATGTACATTAAAGAAGTTTGGATTTGTATCAACCTTTATTGATAAGCAGGAGCAATTTCATCTTCATGAACAAGCCTGAGGAAACGATAAAATCACAAGTTTACACAAGGGGAAGGACAAATAATCCAAGTAGTGTAGAAATTAAGGTTTTGTAAAAAAAAATTGTTTTAAAAGCTACCTTGCTGAACAATAATAGTCACTGGTATGGTTCAGCAAACACACACACACACACACACACACACACTGTATGTTGCTAGGAATCACTGACTTTTTCTTGTTCTCCGTGCAGAAATCATCTGAGTTTCGACTTCCAGACATCTCCTTGTCCAGTCTGGATGTCCTGCTGCAGACAGTCACACAGAAACTAAGGGGGAAGAGGAGAGGTTGGGATGAAGAACCATGGAATGTTCCGTCCAATCAAAACCTCACTGCTGTTAGTGGAAGACTACTGAGAGAGAAGAGGTGTCATTACATAACATGCATCTTTATAAAAGACATAGTTATTGTTAATTGTACTGTACGCCTGAAACTGTCCTTACATGTGGATGAAACTATATTACACAATGTGTTATAATCCATTCAAAAATGTGTTAAATGTTAAACAGAGGGACTTTAAGGAACATTTTACCTGTCTTTCTTTTAACATCAGTGCAGCAACAGAGACATCAGTGGGTGGACACAGTGTAAACAGACAGATGACCCTTCCTCCACTTTTTCCTGCACAAAAACCCACTATCATCCTCTCTATGACGAAGAACAGCCTACTGCCGTCCAACACTCTGCAGTGACTCGTCAGAAAAAGCAGACTAGACTCACAAAATACACAATGTTTTAAAAATTATACAGGAAACAATATATTTTTATTATCCTTGAGACAAAACATTCCACAACAGACAAATACAAGTTTTTCTATCTACAGTTGTACATAGAGTAGATATAGATAAATCATTGTTCAAGTAGAACTGTGCAAACATAATACCTTCATACACATTCAGTGGTACAGACTTTGATTCTGAAATGAGACCAAGTTTTTGGTTTACATTTTCAAAAAATTGAAACTTTTCAAGAATTGTTAACATTTTGCATTTTGGAATAAAATCCTTCTGAAGCTTTATGGCTTTCTTTTCTTCTCGATCATACATAATACCCTGCATTTGGACATTAGGTAGTATTGATTTACAAATCAAAACCTATGTTTATTATTAACTATCTAAAAGGTATGTAACAATGAACTTGCAGTAAGAACTCCCTCCACATGAGATACAGCATAATGTTTCAAAACACAATTACTTTCTTGTGCATAGTATCATCAATTACATGTAACAAATTTACTACTACCGTTTGCAGCATTCCCTTTTTTTTTTAAAGCAATTTATGCAAAATAAAGATGAGATGGTAAGTGGTCTAACAATTGAAGGCACCAAAGCTATTATTAAGAAGCAATAACTTCTGGTTCTTTCTTTGGAGCGGACTGATAAATTGATAAATTTACCTCTACTGGCTCAGTTTCACTACTTCTTGCATGTCACCTTTTCCACTCTTTACTTCTTACCGACAGAGAAAATGCTTGACTGTATTTGGTCCTTTCAATCTGCACCCTGCATCAAAGTGCACTGTCCTGTGTGTTGCTGCCAACTATAAAGAGTGCAGAAGGATCTTTACTGGAGCTCTTTGTTCTGTGTTTGGACCTACTGGATGTACTGGATTCCCCCTGAACACCACCATTACTGCTGTTTGATTCACTGCTGACTCTCTGGCTTGTCTGAGATGTCTCATGGAACTTCTCCTCTGCCTGAGGTAATATGGTCATTGCTGTACTGTTGCTTTTCACTCGACTAGCTTTGTCCGCTTTAGATTTGCCCTTGCTAGATTGAGCCTTTTTTGATTTACCCTCTTTTGGTTTGCTGTCAGATGATGTCTCATGTTGCTGTAAAGTCTCGCTTGCCTGAGGGGGTGTAACCGGTGGCTGTGGTTGGATGGTGGGAGGGTTAATCCTGGGAGACAGTGCAGTCAGGTTGGTGTGTACTGTCCCGTTACTGGTGACCACATCGGTAAGGCAATCGTCATCAGTCTGCTCTCTTGCAAAGTTGACAAACACCTATAAAAATGAATTGGCTTTAACATGAGTCTCACTGATTTGTTCTCTGATAAATTTACATTAAAGGATACATTCACAATTTTTAAAACTGGTGTTAAAGCACTAGTCAGGTGCCCATATAAAACACATAAACAAAACAGTTTTTGCTTGCTACAATTGTTCCTCTTTTTCCTTTTAAGAGATGCTTTTCTAATGCTTCCATTGCGAGGCACAAATTCACATTCCTTCTGTGTAAGAAGCTTATATGAAGTGGTTATCTTCCAAAGTTCCCTGGACAGTGTTGTTCCTTGTTGAACTACAGTGGAAGGACAGCATCTTAAAGGCGGAATTCAATACAAAAAACTCTAAAACTTTGAAAGATATGCACTTGATTTGATTATCTCTGAAGCCTCATATCAAATATATCTCTGAATACACTTTTCACAGAACCAGAGCAACAGAGTTTGATTCTCTGATCATCAGTATTTCTGGCTACCTGTAGATCACCAGTCTTACAGAATGAAAATGCCCGGGTTTATGTGTTTTTGTATTCGGGATATTGACTTGGAAGATGGAGCAAGTAAGAAAGACAACGAGGTCACTTGTGTGGGAGCATTTTGACTTGGTTCAGCACAATTTGTAACCAACATCTGGTGACAACACATCATCAGTGGTAAGACACCTCCACACTAAGCATCTTGAGATGAGCCTATGCAACTTGAAAAATCACATGTATATTAATTTGTTTGGTGATCTGTTTGCAAAATGCCATTAGTCAGAATGCAGAGGCTGAAGGATATTTCATTACTGTCCTCACCTGGTCCAGGGTGGTCTGCGAAACTGAGAAGTCGATGATGCCCAGCTCCTCATAGTTGTTGGCCAGCACATCAAAGACACGGGCCAAACAGCAGTCATTTGAGGGCAGCTGGTACTGCAGCACATTCTGGTGGCGCTCCTTCAGCTCAATGCTGGGAAAAGTGTTCTTCATATAGGTGCTCACAAGGCACAAGTCCGGACTTGATTTAGTGTCTGCTAGACGAAGCATGATTGTGTAGCCGTCACCAAACCTGAAAAGTGAAGGAGAGAAAGAAAGAAATAATATTCAAAATTTTATACTGTTACATCAATACATACGAACTACATTTCTCCTCAGGGGTCCATTAAATATTTTCACATGGCAGCATCTGTTCAGATAAACAGATGAAGTGCCCTTAAATTTTCTGTAGTAATTCCCCTAATTCAGAACAGTTCACACTCTGACTGCTGTAGAAGCAGTTTTCAGTCCTCTCATATATCTCCAGTCTCCAACATTCTTTGAAAGAGTGATGAATTATGTTTGTTTAACTGGGGAGCGTAGAGTGTGGTTACCTGCTCTTCAGGTGTTGTACAGATCCAAGACACTGGAACCTGCCATTGACCATGATGGCCATTCTGGTGCAGAGAGCCTCACATTCCTCCATACTGACCAGACACACACACACACACACACACAATAAAACCCATTAGCATTGTGAAACTGAAGAAAGCTTTAGCCAGCTAATTAAAATAGCTGCAGCAAAAGAGGATTTTACAGAAATGGGATTATAGTACCACACTCACAGTAACCACTAGAGTCATACAGCAGTGTTTTTCCAGACTGAAGTCTTTGTTTTTCAGTGCTCCTTTGATAAAATAGGGAACTGTGGGCCTTCTTGTTTTGTATCTTCCATTATATTATCATCTCCTTTTTATTCTGGAGGTTCCAATCTAAAAAAACATGCCCACTTGACAGGCTGAAGCACAAGTGAGGATATCAGGCTTGGATATGTCTCAAAGACTGTGGTGTTTATGGCAAAAAAGGTTTATTCAGAATGAAAGTGAGCTCTTTGGTCAATGTTAGAATTAATATGATAAAAGAGAGATTCTTTTTTATTCATTCATTCATTTTCTACCATTGAGTCCCTGAACGGGGTCATGGGGGGTGGGGGGACGACAATCCCGGGGGGCAATTGGGCGAAGATGGGGTACACCTTGGATAGGTCGCCAATCCATCCCAGGGCTAACACATAGACGAACAACCACTCCTAGAAACACCAATCAACCTAAGCTGCATGTCTTTGGACTGTGGGAGCCGGAGTACCCGGAGAGAACCCACGCAAGCACGGGGAGAACATGCAAACTCCACACAGAAAGGTCCTGGGTGGTGCCCAAACCCAGAACCTTCTCGCTGTGAGTCAACGGTGCTAACCACTGTGCCACCGTGCTGCAAAAGACAGATTCTGTTTTTCAATATATGCTGTAATGCCAGAGAATGCATGTGCACTATCTGCGCACTGTAATTCTACAAGGCTAATGTGAGCATACTCATGTATTTTCCTTTGTTGATCCAGTTTTATCATATGAATAACAATTTTGTCGTTAGTGGTTAAAGACATTTAAGACTGAACTCCAAGGACACCTGGATTAGACTGAGTATAATCTTTGACTTATTTCACCTTTTGATAGATGATGAAAATGATGCTCTAGAAACATAGACACACATGAGATAGCTCTCAGCAAAACACCTCAATCTTCACTGCTAATTTAATTAATTTAATCATCCCTTTATTATTCCCACAATGGTGGAATTTACAGTCTGGGCACGAGGTAGTATGGGCTATCGGAATAGGGTAAATGCGCATGTACAAAATTGATTGTATACTTGCTCCTACCTGTGGGAGGTGAGAACTACAGCTCTTCCCTCTTTGGTGACACTGAGGATGCAATTCCACAGAAACCTTTTGGCTTTGGGGTCCATACCAGTGGTGGGCTCATCCTAGCATAAATTTAAAAAACCACAGCATGAAGAAAACAGACAGAAGTAAAAAATAAAAAAAAAAGAAAGGAAAGAAAAAGTTTGTGAAATATGTTTCTGTTTGTATTCGAGTCTGTTGAATTGAGATAATGCAAGAACATTCATCAAATGAAATATCTCTTAATTAAGAGATAGACTGATGATAACATTATGCATTATTCTACCCCAATGTATATACAATACAGTGTCTTGTCTGCACACAATAACATGAGGAGAGCTGTAGAGGAGTTTTAAAAGTATTTTTCAAATACTATCCAAACCCATACAGAATTTAACCGGTGATACTTATAATGCCAATGTGTTGGCTGTTTTCTACAGGGGGGAGATGTTTATTGCTTGACAGTAGGTGTCCCTGTTCATTCTCTGCCTATTTTAGCAATTGCTCTCCTGTTATTTAGTGAATAGATTTGATCCTAACCAGGAATATAACAGGCGGAGCCCCGATGAGGGAGATGGCAGTAGAGAGTTTCCTCTTGTTGCCTCCACTGTAGCCTCCGGCCTTACGCTCAGCGTACTGGGTCAGGCCCAGCTTCTTCACCCCCCACTGCGCCACCTACAGGACAGCAGAGAAACCACATCACTGTGCCACCTTGCAGCCGAATAAACCTGTCACTCCATGTAAAAGTGCCAAACCCTTTAAAGTTTATAAACAGTTTGGTTACTAAAACAGTGACATCTCTTCTGTACGCTGCAACTGAAGTGACCACCTGAAAATATCAGGACACTGAATTTGATGGTTCTTTTGGTTTCTGCAGTCTGTACCAGGACTACACTAGACAACTAGGAACTGGCAGTGTGACAGTGCAGCATGTTATTCTTATGACAGCTTTGGGGTGCACTGGTCCGTAATGCTACCTTAGAGACAGAGCCCTCTTGAACTCCCCGCAGGCGGGCGT